GATCTCAAAACGATCAAAAAACTACGAGAAGCTGCGAAATCATCGATCCCCGACATTGGTTATGAAATTCATCCAGTCACTTGGAGTCTCGCCACTTCAACAGGAATGATGTTTATTTTAATCTTGTTAATAGTTATGGCATGGAAAATCTACAAGAGTCATTTGCTGCAAGATTCCAAGAAAACCAAGAACGACCAGTCTTACGAAAACAACCTTTCGTCCCTGTTGTTTTCCACTTCGGAGGGAGGAATTGTGTGATAGAATATGCTGATGAAATGCTAGCTTCAGTATTCCCAGTATCTGCGACGCGACGCTTGCATAAAAACTTTATATATATGGGAACTTTGTACTTTGTGTTCAGTTCTCCTTGTAACGGGTTAAATAAAACCTCGTAGTTCTGTTTGTAAAACAAAAAGGTGTTTTTTAAAAACGAGACCCTTCAATCGAAAACCTTAACTTGTTACATACTACACTTTTTCGTCGACCGTTAGTTTTTGAGTACATTTTCGCAAAACAACACGAATATATTCACTGACATGACCGTCAGAAAATTCACAGCGTGGGAAATATCTCCGAAAACATCCGATTGCTCCCAAATCCGTGCGGTAAAATCCCGAAGTGGTTCAGATTCATGGGAAAAGAAACTGAAGTGGTAAACTGACGCTTCCCGCACGCTAGATCGGTGGGTCATTAGGTATTTTACAGACGGGAGTGGAAAAAGATATTTTACAGAAGGGAGTAGAAAAACTCATGTTGCATTTTCGGAGAGAAAAGGCGATTTGAAAATTAAAAAATTCTTAAACAAACTTAATCAAATAAAACTTCCACAGACTACTTTACTACTATTTATGAGCCTTCTGGATTCTTTCTGCGTCGATTGTTGACATTGAAGAAACGAGATGAAAAATGATCATCCAGGCCAAAAGAATGTAAAAGACTACGACAAATAAACTCATCAGCCGCTACCGAAAATAATCATGAAATCGAACATTACATCTTATTCGACCAAATAAACATTCTAGCATGTAATCAATTGTTGTACCATATCAAAATGGGACAATCCATAGAAATCTCTTTCACCAATATGGGAATCAGCCTCTCCCATCATCTCCCTCCTTAACTCTGCCCCCTCTAGTACAGAGTAGAATACAAACCAGTTTCAGTTATGCTCTGAAGAAATCAACAGAGGAAACGTCAACAAATTCAATTCAACAACCTACGAGGCAGAAATCCAGAATATTTGTAAATAGCATAACAATATGTTGTTCCACTTTCTTTGAAGAAAATAAGACTAACTTTATGCGAGAAGCCAAAAAAGAGATGCCGCGAGTGCAAAGAACAAGCTCTCTGTGTAAAGGCGATTCAGGCGTCACGGGGCCTATGACCAGTCGGAGGCCCAACGGCGAGACTTTACAGAAATTTACAGGGTTGACGCTAGGGGTCCGTTCGTCTGAATTATACTGCACCAGTTACAAATTATAAACTCTGTTCTAAACAGATGGGTAAACTTCGCAATATTAGACTCTATATAGAGTGTTTCGCAGTTGATTGTACCTTTAACATTTACGGCGAATAGTACATTGGATTGTTCTGAAAATTTGGTTAGTTCCATAAACAGTAGTAGCATCAACATTAAAATTTTATATTGCATTGCATTTTCCGTTCCGCTAATACTTTGCGATTGTTTTTGAAAAATATGTTCCTATACCTATATTTAGTGGTTCTGAAGAAATTAATTATTTTCTTTATTTTTCGCACCAAAAAATTGCTTCAGTTACGTAGCTTATACATTATTTCTTTTTATTTAAATATTATAAAGAGTTGGTTAAAACTAAAGATTTGCCTGCAAATCGACTAGTCACTCATAGTGAGAAACTGTCATGTCCCCCTATCCCCAGATCGTTTGATTTGTAAGTTTCTCTGAAAACTGCTTTGGCATTAATTCATCTTTTAGTTGACCATGATTTTTGACAATTTTGTCAATTTAATAAAGATTTACTTATTATTGATACTGGTTCAAATTTTATAGATAGATCGGTTCCAATAAAACCAGTATTCTTAATTAATGTTTTAATTATTTTTTTTATTATGCATGGACAATATATTATAGAACATGCAAGAAACGAATCCAATTTACGACACATGACCAAGAGAAAATTTGCAAGAATTAAGAAATGCTTTACAAACCATTTTGCGAAAAACATTTTAAAAACTATTTGCACTGACAATATTAGGCACTTAAAATAAAAATTGGGCACAGAAAAATGAATCCAATTTTTACATTACGTGCTCCAAGTGTTCACCATTGCATTTAAATTCCCTTGAGGTGGACTGAAGGTACTTCTATTTATCTATTTATTCAAAGCATCGTGAAATCCGATGACGTAACTCTTTCTTGCTCTGCACCGGTGTGCAAATAAACGTCGAAACCAATGGTCATTTAATAATCCTTATAAATCTTGTGACACCTCTTCAGTGCAGTGCCCTGCCTAGCTGATACCAAGAGCTCCGAAGTTCCTGAAGTTGGCACTGTTCTTAATGTTTGAAGGTATTTTGGTAGCATTCATAAAAATTTAAGAACTTCGCTTATTATCTTTTAACACTCGAAACACATTTAGACTAAATTTTTGCTTCGTCGGTCACCTAAAAGATGAATTATGCCAAAGAAACGGGATTTTATTTGCTTTTCAAATATGTGCGCTTTATGATATGGAAATAGTAGTTATGGAAATTTAATTGCAGCCATATTTTAGTCGAAAAATATAGAAAATAATTAATTTCTCTAAACCCAGTAAGGATAGGTAGCGAAACTTATTATTCAAAAACATAGAGTATTAGCGGATTATAAAATAATAATATACATCTTTTCCCATTTAAAATTTCATGGTTGGCGCAACTTTTTAGTAGAAATTGCAACGTCTCAGCTTTAAAAATATTTTAGATCGATAGAGCAACAACAAATTTCAGAACAATCCAATGCACCTTAAACGTCTAAGGTACCATCAACAGTGAAACACTATTCACTATATAAAACCGCCATGATTGCTCGAATCGAGTAGTCCCTCAGTGAGAAACTGCATTGTATTTCTTTTGCTTTTAGATAAAGACACGGTGTTGTCGAAACGATTGTCATGTAAAAATATATAATTTCGTGAAAATCTGAACTTTTAGTTGTTATTTACTTTGATAAATGAGTTTTTATCAAGTAAAGGGCAACTCAGTTCAATCTTTTGCTTTAGTGATTAGAGTTATAGTAATCGCAGCAGCCTTGATGGCAAAATTTGTCTTTGACTCGGGGATTTGGCATATAACAACTTGTAAAAGCCTCACTCAAAACGCTGCATTTTTAGGTCAGTGAAATTTCACTCGTACCGATTCGAAATGGGAAGGTGTTAGGCACTGTACTGAACCTTTCAAGAAAGGGGAATTTTACATATTTCAGGGGATGCTGTACACTTTCAGGTGGGTTTTGTGGATTAACAAATAGAGAGCTGCTCACGGTAGCCTTTCTGTAGAACTTTTCGTGGTTAGAATTCTCAATTTTTGAACCCCACCATTTTTCATTACTCGATTTCTTAGTAATGCGGGTGACCACTTTTGACTTATGGTAAACGATTGGAAGTGTGGTAAATTCGAAGTCCAACCAACCAGTTATATCAAGTTTGAAGCTAAAAGATTTTTTTAAATGCTTACTAATATCATTCCAGATCTCAGTATTTGATTTTGTTTACTTTCATTTTTGAATTTTTTGGCTTTCCATGTTTTCATTAGCCACTACGTATTTTTTATGTCACTTCTTAATTTTAAATTTTTAGCGATTTAACTGGTCTTTCTTTAACATTTAACTAGACCTAGCGATATTCTGCAAAAAGAAAACGATTTATGGTGATGTTTAATGGACCCTCTGAATTTTTTTTCACAATCACTTAATATATTCCTATATTATCGGCATAGGAGGGCCTCTTTATCTCTATTTTTATCTTTATCTATTATGATTGAGAACAAAATATTACCTCTAAAAACATATATTCATTTTAAGAAGGAATACAAAATTTAGTATCAACGTTAAAACCATTATAGAAACACGGTTGGTCGAGTGGGATAAAGATTTTATATAAATTCAGTGATTTTAGCACATTCATTTCCATGTCTTTTAACCAGTTCTACAAAAATTTGCAGCGTGTCTTAATTTTTATAGTCAACAAGGAACAATAGATATAAAGTGCTGATTATAAAAAAATTCTATAATTAATCTAAAAATGTATTACAATAGTGTACTATTAATTTTTCAAAGAAACTTCCACAAGCTACTGTAATACTTTTTACAAAACTTCTGGGTTCCTCCTGCATCCGTTTTTGCTGAGTTGAAATTCCTGACATTTGGCCAATCATCCTGTTGGCTTCTTTAGAGCTTGACTGAAACTGGCTCGTATTTTACTCTGTACCTGCTTATATATTGTTTGAGGGGGCGGAGCTAAATGAGGGGCAGAGGTTGACTGAAACAGTTTCAGTCAAGCTCTGAAGAAGCCAACAGGATGATTTGCGAAACGTCAGCAATTTCGACAGAGCAAAAACCGACGCAGGAGGAATCCAGAAGTTTTGTAAAAAGGATTAGAGTGTTCTATTTAAAATATTTAATGTTGATAGTAGCATTTTAAAATTCGGACCCTCTGTTGACCAAAATAAATATCTGACAATGTCATTTTCATTTTTTGTATATCTTTTTTGTTGTTTAAGTTTATAGCAAATCTACTAGGAAGAAAATGCTAAAATCAATGGATATTTTACTGAAATATTGATTAGTTCATCTCTAATAATATTATTTTTAATTTAACCGAATTGTTGAAAGTATATATAGTATTGAAAAAGTGGCCGCTCTGTATAGCGAACTTGGGAATTTGCTAATTGTCGATAAGTTGAAAAAATTGGCTGAAAGATTGCGTAATGTTTTACTTGGCGAAAGTTAAATAAAATCACAAAATAACTTTTTTATGTAGCAGTGAAAAATTTTTATTAACCAATTCAAAAATCATACAAAATTATATAATTTTCTATTACAACAACCAGCCTCTTTTAACGAATTCCTTAGTCACAAAAACGATTCTCTCTCGGTGATTTTTGGTCCAGTTCACTTCTTTCTCAAAGTCGGTCAGTTCTTTGAATTCTTCTTCTAATATTGGCGGCAACATAAAAATAATATGATAGTATTCGTTTTCTCGCGCAGCTATCTTCAATTCTTCATAAAAAGATTCCTTTGAAAACCTGCTGGTGTCTATATTCAGTCGTTTTAGACGATCGCTAAACTGTTCATAGTAAAATTCCAACAGGGCGTCTAAGTTCTGTTCCAAAACGTCATTTTGAAGGCTCGTGAATATGAAGAAGAGTACGTCCCTGGCCGGTGACTTGTAGCTTATCAGTTGAAAATCTACCAACATAGCGCGATCCGCTTTACCATTTTTGAATTTCAACATTGTGTTGTTGATCTGAAACATGAAAAGTCTTTGATGCACTGAAATAAATATTCTCATTTTCATTTAAAACTAACCAAAAATATGCTTTGTTTTTTAATGCTCGAGAGCCATTGAACTGCATAACTTAGTAGAGGCAGGTAAACGGACAGGTAGAAGTGAACACTATCATAAAGACATAAATGCTGGTGTGTTTGAAGACTATTTAAAGCAGATGCTAAGTCTTATTTCTCTTGGGTCTGTTACAGTCATACTAAAGTAAATCGTAAAAAAAGTCTTCTTGGAAAATAACGCGACATCATTCATTAGCTTACTTTAAATAAGATGGAATTTGAGAAAGATGTGCTGAAAAGGGAGCTACTAGAGATTGTAAGTTGTTTTATAAAATTTTTTATAGACGAAATCACTTTCAAACGAAACAACGATATTTTGTCTTCAGCTATATCTCTGTTAATTAAACCCCATAGATCTGATGTGAACGCAAGAAAAACAGTTTGTAACAAGATAAAGGACGTGGAAACCCTGACGTTGACAGACAATGGATTGCGAAAATAGAGTGAGTGCGTCGAACAAGTGATTCAAATATAACTTACTAGAAAAAACTGTAGAGCTCATTACAATTTCTCCAAATCGAAACATGATGACTAAAATTTGCAAATGAAGTTGTATTTTAAGGACTTTTTTTAATATAAACATTTATTACAATCACTCTGTTTTCATGTTGTTTTTAATTTTATATAAGTGCTTGATGTTAGAATAATTAATATCTGAATTATCTGCCAATCTCTAAAAATTGTAATCATGTCACATAATGCTCAGGGCAACGTGATCAGTGTATGTATGTGGTCAATAATTTATAGCCTCACTAAGTGTGGCTCAGTAAAGATATAGTATTAATAACATTGAAATCGAGGTTACTACAAGCAGGTGCCGTCTTTGATAATAAATGAACTTTTGCGAATCATTATTGTCTAATTATAAATATGTTGTCATATAATGAGCAACAGTTTGCTTCCAGACGTTTCATACTTCTTGCTTACTCTGTGGAATTCGGTATATTATCAGTGATTGATCAGTGTGATTACCGGAGCATTTCAAATTGATCCTACGATGTATTAGCTCTGTACATAATTTTCAATGATGTATATTACTGGCTAGCTCTTTTAAATAACACACAGCTAAACACCGGTTATAAAAATAATATACTCCAGTCAGAGCAGTTGTTCAGCTACGTCAGGTATAGCGGCGTAATGAAAATGATCCAGGTGTCTCAGCTATATTGCTACCGTAACATTAAAAATTACAATTTCAAAACTGACAAACAAAAATTTCTGTGTCAATTTACGATATCCAGTAATGAACTAGATAACTGCACAGTTGATGTTGACTGCACACAATAACGGACGGAATAAGAACAAAAGAGCTAAGTTGGTATGGACATGTCTAAAGTCACACTTAGATGCCAGCGGGAAGAACAGTACCTACACTTTACATTCAAATAACACACACATACCAAACAATATAAGTAAAAATATAGTAGTGTAGCAAAATAGATACCCAGCAATCATAATGGATAAGCGTTGACCACGGTTCTCTAGATTTGAAGTTCGCTTTTCTGTCTATAGTTGAAACGGCTCTGTTAATAACCTCTTCTGAAAATTTCGTTTCACGTAAAATGGTTCGCAGTTCCCTTTTAATGACTTTCAAATATTCGTCGTCTTCTTCGTAATCCCAAACGTACTGCAAAACGTTCTCTTTGAATTCTTTAGGTTTTTCAATTTTGAGACCTAAGCCGGTGGCGTGAAATTTGGCCAGAACGTCCAAAATTATTTTGGCGCTAGTTAGATCCAGACCCACCAACTTGTTTTCCGTTTGGTAACCTAAAATCGATAATAACAATATTAATGTCAAGGTTTATTAGTCGAAAATAATATAAATTGTTACATGTCAATTACACGAGTTCAAAGTATATCCGCAAAATGGGACTGAAGACAAACAAAAATTCGACCAAAAGAAACGATCCCCGTAAACTATCATTATTTTAAGATTATGTATAATAATTTTTGATGAAACAACAAAAATAGCAAAACGAATAACACAAAAGCAGAGATTCTAAAAGAAAGAGACAAGTGAGAAGTGAAAGAGTAAGAGCATACATAATAATGCACACAAAGTTCAAGGTATCACCTAATATCCAGAAGGTGCCGTTTGTATATATATATATTTATATATATATATATATATATATATATATATATATATATATATATATATATATATATATATATATATATATATATATATATATATATATATATATATATATATATATATATATATATATATATATATATATATATATATATATATATATATATATTTTCACGTATTGATTCACGGATGGAAAAATGTGATGACACTATATTCCGGGATATCATCCGTTCGCCTGCTGAACTCCGACTGGAAGACTGGAATCCTGCAGACGATGCCAAGTGAGATTTTGGCGAAACGTCTGCAGGATTCCAGTCGGAGTTCATATATATATATATATATATATATATATATATATATATATATATATATATATATATATATATATATATATATATATATATATATATATATATATATATATATATATATATATATATATATATATATATATATATATATATATATATATATATCATCCGTTCGCTCGTTGAACTCCGACTGGAATCCTGCATCCGACTGGAATCCTGCAAATCTTGCATCCGACTGGAATCCTGCAAATCTTGCATCCGACTGGAATCCTGCAGACGTTTCGCCAAAATCTCACTTGGCATCTTCAATGCTCGCGCTCCGAAAACACTTCGAACACTGGGAGGTTATCGGCGGTGCGTGCGGTATTTATACTCTGCGCCGGAGATGGTAACGGTGCTGCTTGTGCGTGGGGGGAGGTGGCTCCGCCCCCTGAATTGTCGCGTTGTTAATTTCGCCCGATCGTAGTTGCGATGTCCCCGTTGGCTGCTGCGCATCGCTCTGCTGTTTGATTATCGTTCTCCACGTGTTGGATAAATGCAGAGCGTCGTCTCTCGTATTGAGGTGTCCGGACTTTTCTATTTCGATGGCCTCTCGTATAATCCTAGTCCTAAAATCAGGAATATTAGCTATTTGTTTGCAAGTGCCGAAATCAATTTTATGGCCTGTCTGATGTTGGTGCTGAAACAAAGCAGATGTTGTTTGTTTGTTTCTTATGGCTAAACGATGTTCCTCGAGCCTGGCTGAAATTCTTCTGTTGGTCTGTCCCACATACGTCAGGCTGCACGATCCGCATGCTACACTGTATACTCCTTGGTTTTCCAGAGTAATTTTTTGTTTTGGGTTTCTTAGTATTGCTCCGATGGTATGGTCAGGTTTGTATGCCGTTGATATGTCGTGTTTCCGTAATATTCGGCCGATTTTGTCAGTAACCCCCTTGATGTATGGCAGGACAGCGATCGATCTTCGTTGGGTCTCGTCCTGCACTCTCTGCTGCGGCTGTTGTTGTTTACTGATTGCCTTGCTGATGGTGCGCCTTTGGTATCCGTTTTGTTGAAGACAGGTACTAATTTTCTTCAGTTCTTTATCTCTGTTCCTCTCGTTTGTGAGCCTGAAGGACCGAGCAATTAATGTATTTGCCACTGCCTGTATCTGTGATGGGTGGTGATGAGATTTAGCGTTCAGATATCTATTAGTGTGTGTTGGTTTTCTATAGACAGTGTGTTCCAAGTGTCCATCTTCGGTCCTTGTGATGTGCACATCTAAAAAGGGTAGACTGTTATCCTCTTCAAGTTCTATTGTAAATTGAATCCTTGGGTGAATGGAATTCAGATGATCTAGGAATTTCAAAAGCTCCTCTTTGCCAAAAGGCCATACAACAAATACGTCATCAACGTATCTTGTCCATAGTTTTGGCTTCAGATTTGCCTTCTCTATTGCTTTCTTTTCGAAGTAAATCATGAAGAGGTTGGCAATCACAGGTGAGAGAGATGATCCCATTGCTGCTCCATCTATTTGTCGGTAAATTTTCCCGTTGTGCATAAAGTAAGCGTTTTTCAGGCAATGTCTTGACAGATCAATTATGTATGGCGGAAGATCTTCGTTTTCTTCTATAAGCAAGAGTGCCTCTTCTACTGGAATACTCGGGTAGAGGGATTTGACATCGAAACTTGCCATAATGTCGTCCTTGTCCATCCTGAGAGAACCTAAAATCTGAGTGAAATGTTCTGAGTTTTTAACATAGGAATCTGCCTTTTCCACTATAGGCTGAAGTGCACTGGCCAGATGTTTTTCCAGCTTGCATAATGGTGAGTTAAAGGCGCTTACGATTGGACGCAGGGGAACCCCGTCCTTATGGATCTTTGGGAGCCCGTAGAATTTTGGGCAACGACTCGATTTTTCCCTCGGAATAAGTTTCTTCTTTGTATCCTCGTTTATTGATGAATCGAGAATTTTGGACTTAGTTGTTTTTTCCAAATATGTCGTGGGATCTCTGGTGACTAGTTTGTATATTGGGTCGTTCAAAATATCCTCCAATTTTGCATTATAATCCGACGTATTCATGACGACAGTGGCATTTCCTTTGTCTGCTGGCATTATTAGAATGTTTTCGTTTTTGTTTAGATTCCTTAAGGCTTGCATTTCTTCTCTGCTTAAGTTTGGTTGCGGTGGTTTTGACTGTCTTAAGACTCTGGCGACATCTTGCCTAATTAACTCCGCATCTTGTTCGTCTATGGTGGAAAGACTTGCTTCGACGTTGGAAACGATCTCTTCGACGGGTACTCTTTTTGGAGCTATTGCGTAGTTAAATCCTTTATTCAATACGCTGACTTCTGTATCGGAAAGATGGTATGCTGAAATATTATGAACTGTACTGCTTCGGTTTGTATTTGGCACTTGTCCTGATTTTTTGGAATTTGACTGAAGGATTTCTAATTTCTTCCACAGTTTTTTTGACGTGATGTCCTTGTCTTTCTCAGTGCGCCATGATGTTAATAATTCTATGCGGTCCCACAGCAACTGATGGATCTTGTTGCTCAGTTTCAGGTGGAGTCTGAAAAGTTGTAGCTCAGTCTCACTAATTTCGTACCGGGTCCGCCTGATCTGGTCTTGGAGTAGGGCCTTGCTAGCTTTGTCCAGGATAGCTTGTGTCTTTCTGGTGCGTGTGTGATAAGACAACCTTGTAAATGTTGGCAGCAAGTTCTGGTTGCGGCAGCTTTTAAGAAAATTCAAGTTGCACAGCGAAATAACCCTCCTTTGTCTTAGTTTTTCATAACACTTGGTGGCTGTAAAGATCTCCTTCCCGTAAAGGTGTATGATATTCTCACGTATTGATTCACGGATGGAAAAATGTGATGACACTATATTCCGGGATATCATCCGTTCGCTCGTTGAACTCCGACTGGAATCCTGCATCCGACTGGAATCCTGCAAATCTTGCATCCGACTGGAATCCTGCAGACGTTTCGCCAAAATCTCACTTGGCATCTTCAATGCTCGCGCTCCGAAA